TTTCTGGCAAACTGGTCTACCATCACAAACGACTCATGGGCATTGAAAATCATCCAATGCGGCTACCGACTGGAATTTATAGAATTTCCTCCCTTAGGGTTCGTAAGTCATATATCTTTCGACCCCGCTCTAGAAGAGGAAGTTCTATCACTTCTGGAAAAGGATACCATTCAACCTGTCCCAATCACAGATCTGAAAAATGGATTCTACTCCTGGTACTTCGCTGTGCCAGAGAAAGGTGGAGGTATAAGACCTATCCTCGACTTAAGAATCCTAAACACCTACCTTCGTCCAAGATGATTCTGGATGGTGACCTTGGAGTCCATCCTGCCCCTGTTAAAGAAAAACAACTGGTTTGTGGTGGTGGATCTGAAGGATGCATACTTCCATGTGACCATCCATCCAGATCATCGCAAGTACCTTTGGTTCATCTTCCAGGGAACCATTTATCAATTCCTGGCCTTGCCTTTCGGATTTCAACAGCTCCCAGGACATTCACAAAGGTCATGGCTCCGGTGGCAGCTTACTTGTGCCTCAACGGCATCCACATCTACCGTTACATCGACGATTGGCTGGTAGTCTCTCAATCCAGGACTTAGGCTCTAAAAGACACAAAATTCATTTTACGGTTGCTTCCAAAACTGGGCCTCACCATCAACATGAAAATGTCACATCACATACCTTCCAAGGTAGTGCATTACATCGGAGCACGACTAGATGCTATCAGAGGTCGAATTTTTCTGCCCAAAGACCGGATTCTAAAAATTCGCAGGGCTCTCAAGAAGTTTCAACCAAGGGCTCACATGAGAGTGAAACATGTTCAACACTTGTTAGGCCTAATTGCCTCAACCACTCCAGCTTTGGCCCATGCGCATCTCAAACTGCGGTCCCTATAGTCATGGTTCCTGGCACTCTTCAATCCCATGAGAGACAGCCAGAGGAAATGCCTTCATGTAACTCCAGAGCTTGCAACACAACTCCAGTGGTGGAATTATCCCCCACACTTGCAGATAGGCAGACCGTTTCGACCCCTTCGGCTCACCGTGCAAGTAACAACAGATGCCAGTCTGACAGGATGGGGAGCACACTGCGGTCAACACTATGGTCTGCCCAAGAACTGAATCTTCATATCAATCATCTGGAGATTATAGCTGTAATAAAGGCTCTCAAAGCCTTCCTCCCCATGGTATAGGGTCGTGGTGTTCAACTAGTTACAGACAACACCACGACCATGTACTATTATCAACAAACAAGGAGGGACACGCTCAGGATTGCTTCTCTACCTTGCCATTCACCTTTGGGAGTGGTGCTACCAGCACCATGTCTTTCCTGTAGCGATACATGTGTCAACAACAGAGAATGTGTTGGCAGACCAGCTGAGTCGTCTCACACGTCAGACGCATGAGTGGGAACTGAACACCAAAGTGTTCCACGAGCTCTGTCACCTGTGGGGGACTCGAACTGTAGATGTCTTCGCCTCTCATCGCAATGTGAAGTGCACCGAGTATGCAGCCAGAGCCGGCCTAGGCAAGGCCTAGTTAGGGGATGCATTCATGATCCCATGGAATCAAGGGCTCCTCTACATTTTTCCTCCTGTTCCTTTAATACAGAAGTCTCTAGTGAAGCTTCGTTACTCACCTGTGGGGGCGATCTTCATAGCACCATACTGGCCTCGGCAAGTATGGTTTCCAACATTAACGAGGATGTCCTCAGAGTTCAAGAGACTACCAACATTACCCGATCTCTTGACACAGGATGCAGGCAGAGTGTTCCATCCAGATGTGGAGACACTGCATCTAACGGCGTAGAGGATCTTCCCGAGATCAAGGAGATGTTAGATCGAGCCAAAAAGCCGTCCACTTCACTATTGTACAGTTATAAGTGGAAAAGTTTTCTTAAATTTACTGAAGCCAGGTGTCTTGTACCATCCCCTGTATCTCTTTCTACCTTGTTACAGTACCTGCATTATTTGTTTGATTTCAAGTTATCTCTGTCCACTATTCAAGTTTACCTAGCTGCGATCATCTCCTTTCAGCCTAAGGATTCACCTTCATCACACCTGTTCTCCCATCTTACAGTTAAAACCTTTCTTAAAGGACTTACTGAGGCCTCCAGTTCAACCACCGGTTCCGCAGTGGTCTCTTCAGTTAGTGTTGCATGCACTTACCCGTCCTCCTTTTGAGCCAATGTCTACGTGTGACCTTAAGATGTTGTCTTTGAAGTCGTTATTTCTTGTGGCCATCACTTCTGCCAGACGAACGAGTGAACTTGCTGCCCTTCGTTCTGATCAACCTTTTCTACAGTTTTTCCAAGGATAAGGTACAGTGGACCCTTGACTTACAGATGGCTTGACTTACAGACTTTTTGAGTTACAGACTTCTCTGGCCGCAAAATTTAGGTTTGACTTGCAGCCTGAGAATTGACTTACAGACCAGAAAAAAACCAAAATGGAACAAAAACGGCCTGTTACGGGATTAATCGGTTTTCAATGCACTGTAGGTCAATGGAGAC